TTTTAAAAAAGTTAGTAAATTAGTAAAAAAAGGTATATATAGTTTAGGTACTCTGTTTTACACAAAACCATTAAAAATAATTATTAATATAAATTATTTTATAGTTCAATAATTGATAAACCAAAAATAAGAAAAAAAATATTTTTTATTATCAAAATAATTTTTATTAATTATAATTTTTATATAAAAGTTGTGTTTAAGGTTAAGTTTTGTATAAAAAAAGTTACCATGGTATAATATTGAATTTTTCGAAAATAATAAAATGTCTTTTTTATTTTTAGCTTTTTAATAAAAAAAAGGTAGTTTGATATTTATCAGTTTATTAATAAATATTAAGACCATATATATTTGGTAGTTGATTGATTATTGTACTAATAATTTAATTTAAACAATATAAAATATATAGTACATTTTTGATGATTATAAAAATAATATCATTTAAACAATAATAAATTGTTCAATTTTTATTTTTTAATCTGATAATAAATTGTATTATTAATTATTGTAAAAGCTAATTAAAACATTTATTATATTTATTTATAACCGATAAACTCAAATGATAATAAATTTTAAAAATATTATTATATTTTTTATTCAAACAATAAAACAAAAACAAATAATAATATTACTATTAAAACATAATTAGCTGTTTGGAAAAATTCAAAAACTATTTAAAAATAAAATTAAAAGTATTGGGTTTAAAAAACTAAAAAAAGAGTATATGGTTTGCTAGTAACTAACACCATTTGTTTCATTTCATTATAATATCAAAACTTTAAAAGTACAAACATGTAAATTATTACAGTTCGAATGGTTATTCATAGAAATTACATTTCAATTTGAAAAATAAAAACAACAGATTTTTTTAAACCCGTTATTTATTTGTTGATTTTTTAACCACCTTTCATTATGGAATAATAACTGTTGATTAATTATGTTATCGGCTTATCGTTAAAATTAATACTTTTCAAATTTAATATAATCAAAATATTAAATAAGGTCATTATTCGTTTGGTTAATTCTTAAAAAACAAATAAAATAGATTGAATATCACAAGAAAATTTCGTTTTATTTTCTCGCAGATGCGATTCAATCAATATAAACGCAGTTTAAACTTTTTAAAATATATACATGGAATTAACATTAACAGTGTTTTTAATTATTGTATTTACAAAAGGAACACCTTTTCTGAAAATTGATGGCAAAGAGCCTCGAGAGGTGTATCAATATTGTAAGAATTTTGAAAGAAAAATTAATGAAGATAATAAACCTGATTCAATTGTTAAATGCACTGAATGTGAAAGTGAGTATTATAAATTAGACAATGGGGTATGTTTGTATTACACAAATAATTGTAATACAACAGACACGTATCTCTATCTAAATAATGAAAAGTGCAATTTTTGTGATTTTTCATGTAATACATGTGACGAAAATGGACAATGTACTTGTTTCTTTGATACTGATTTAAATGAATGTAAAAAATGTGTAAGTTCCTTTGAAACAAATATTAATACTGAAAAAGTTACTTTATGTAAATACTGTGGGTTAGGACAATACACAAATCAAAATTTAAAAACATGTGAAGTAGCAACTTTAAGTGAAGATAATAAAGATTCAACCAATTGTGCTCTTTCTGGTATTGAAAATGGAAAACAAGTTTGTTTGAAATGTGTTGGTGAATATTCATATGATGTAACTTCAAAACATTGTACATTAAAAGTTGTACCAATGGAAGGATGTTCGAGACAGAATGGCGAGAAATGTTTAGAATGTGATTTTGGGTATTATCTTGACTTGACTAAATGTGTGAAAAAAGATGTACACTGTGAAAGTTTTCAATTAAAAAATGGTATTGTTGTGTGTACACTTTGTCAAGAAGGATACTACTTAAACACTGATAAGGAATGCACCCCATGCAACATTACATCATCTCCACAGTACACGTACACATCTCCATGTGAAGTAATGGACTTTATAAAGTGTAATCAATGTAACAGACGATGTATTTCCAATTATGGTGTTTGTGTCTGGAGTAATTGTAAAGAGTTCCAATCAAATGGGAAGTGTGGAATATGTGATGATGGTTTTTATCTGTCAAATGAGAAATGTGTCAGAATAACATATGGAGGATTTGTGATACCCAAAAACTACACAAAATGTGTTGCTGGATATTATGTTGACTATGATGAGCAACGAGATACTTATTCATGCAAAAAGTGTAAAGGACATTTTATGGAATGTCTAACAGAAAATACACCGGTTCCGGGTTCATCATTATTTGAAAATATGAGAGCGACCAAATCATTGCCATGCGACAATGAAAATTGTATGAAATGTGCAGATGATGGAAAGTTGTGTTACAAATGCAACACCAACACAAGTGATTTAATAAACGGGAAGTGTATAATACGCCCAATTGTTTTGGAATTAGAAAAAATTGAAAATGCGCCCATTGAAATAGGGAACTATGACACATCGTATTTATTTTGTCATTACAAAGGAGTGAATACCGTGTTTGAGGAGATTGTTCCAACTTTTAATCAGTCGAAAGTTGAAGACATTAGATGCACTGAGATATTACGAAGAAATTTCAAATATAGAACACAAACATCTTTATCTTCTGAAAGTGATACAATAGAATGTGTTGGTTTGAATAGAGATCCAGAAAACAACTGTTTATGCAAAAGTGGATTTTACCAAGAAACTTCTTCTCGTGTATCCGATTGTGTAATAATACCAGAAGAATTGAATTGTGTTCAAAGTGGGAATGGGAAACAGTGTACTGTGTGCCCACTCGATGGGGAATATACATTCGACCAAAAATGTATATGTCCACGTGGTACATATCTTGAAGAAACGCGACTAAAATGTGAAATCTGTCCTAAGAACTGTTCTGCATGTTCCATCCAAAACGTTGAAAGAAGAAATGATATAGTTTGTAGTGAGTGTATGCCAGAAGACATGAATGGTGAAGGAAGAGACCCATCTAAAAAGTGTGATTGTAAATATGGCTATGTATCAGAATTTGGTAAAGTTGACATTTGCATGAAATTGATAGATGGGTGTAAAAATGAAGGTAATTACAGAGTGCTTTACAGACAAATTAAATGTTTGAAATGTGACAAAGAAAATTTCATATTAGGATATGGTGATGAACAATGTAGTCAATGTATTGATGGATATTATTACGATGAAGTAAGCACAGACTGTAAAGTGTGTGATTTTGGTAATGGATGTAGTAGGTGTAACTCGACCCATTGTCTTGGGTGTAAAGACTGGGGCCTTATAGTAGAGCCACCAGTCGGTGCTCCTCCAAATGCATTTTGCACTTCTTGTCTTGATGGTTTTGCTTATAACGCATCTTCGTTCTCTTGTCTTTATTGCCCATCTGTTTGTGATGGGTGTTCCATTGAAAACACAATTGATGTTGTTTGCAAGAAGTGTAAAAATGATAATTATCCCCCATTATGTTCATGTGGAAAGGGAAATTATTTCGATAAAAATATAAATAATTGCAAGAAATGTTCAAATGACCTGAATTTGTGTACGGAAGAATGTGATTACCAAAACGGATATTATGTGCAATGTTTGACATGTAAAGACGAAAATAGAAATCCGGTAAGTAATTGTACTACATGTTTACAGAGTAATATGTTCGTGAATGACATCAACAAATGTGAAGAGTGTGTTAAACATTGTGACACATGTACTTCGAAGAATTATTGTACATCATGTGAAAAGGGAACAAATAGGTTTGGGTTTCAATGTGAAAAGTGTCTGAGTGGATATTTTCTTGATGTTGCCACTGACGAGTGTTTTGCGTGCAATGAGAAATGTGCCAATTGCACATCATTAACTGAGTGTGAATGGTGTAAAAATGAAAATAGAAAGCCAGTAAGTGGGAAAGCATGTGAAGGGTGTAACAATGGGTATTATTATAATGAACTTGTGAAAGATTGTGTGAGATGTGAAAAACAGTGTGATGTTTGTTATAATGCGGATATTTGTTTAAAATGTTTCACAACTGATAATTACAAAGAAGAGCCTGAAAATGGTGATTGTGTATGTACCGATGGGTTTTATTATGATGACACAATTCAACAATGTAGTTCATGCAAAAACAAATATGACGAATTTTGTTCTGTTTGTAATAACAACCAATGTATACAATGTAACGCTGAATATCTTATCGTGAAAAACAACAAATGTGAATGTAATGATGGGTTTTATAAAACTTCGTGGGGGTCTTGTATCAATTGTGATAGACACAATCCCGGATGTTTATTGTGTACAGATAAGGAAGTATGTACAAAGTGTACTGCTGACTTGAAATTGAATCCAAAGACTGGTCAATGTGGTGGTAGTCAAAGGTATATGGTCTTTCTTTTTGGACTTTTAATGTTAATGATGATATAATTCATTGATATCCTTATCTTTTTATGTTTTTAGTTGAGTAAACCGAAAAACAGAGTACTAATAACACTTTATGACCAATATTACACTTCTTTGGATTTTATTTGTTGTTCATTAGAATTACATTTGAATCTATTTGCAAAAATATATATAAAAATTAAAACTAAAAAATTAGTGATCATTGTTCAATACCCTTTTCTTTCTTTTCAGTTTGTTTTTGGTGTTGTTTGTTGTATTTCTGACTTTCATTTATTCTCTTCTCGAGTTTTTCCTTTTTCTCTGCTTTTTTCTTTTCGTTTTCTATAGCCCATTCTTTCAAAGCAATCGACAACTTCTTTGTGTTTTCCGAGTCATTAATGATATTTTCAACGACATATTTGAATTTGTTGAGCTTAGACAAGACGCACTCTCCTGAGGTCTTTCCACTTTTATGGATATCGCACACATCGACATTTTCAGTCTTTTCTGATATTTTGGTGTAAAAGTCGTTAAACACCATTTCGTTGTATTTCTTGACGCCCACAAAATGTTCTAAAAACGATTCGAAGAAAGTAGTTTTACACACCCCAAATATCTCATGAAAGTCAAATGGGAGATTCTTTTGCTTTGTATCTAAAAAGACAAAAAATGTATTTTTATTTGCGTTGACAAAAGCGTCGATTTCTTTTCTAGCATTTTTGTTGTACAAATCGACATTTCCTGCACACATCTCAAGGAGGTGTGTAGACACCTCACTTCCCTTGTCTTTTCCGTCCAAAACCGATTGTGGGACAAAACATTTGAAGACAGTTCCCTTCATTTCCATCATGATTTTCTGTGTTGTTTCATTGTTTGTTAAATGAATAGAACTCATTACTATTTCAAACGGTGTATCGTGGCTTCCCAAATAATTAGTGAAGACAACAACAAATGTGTTTTCAAAAGAGAATGGGGGTATTGTGAAGTCTGGAATCAACATTTTGTTCTTCAAAGGAAGTGTTGGGAGAGCGTGTTGAAGAACAGACAAAACACCTAAAGATGTGTTTCCCGCGTCTGCTAAAGCACAATGAAAATGGCTTTCAAGTGTGTTGTGATACAAACAGCGTTGTGCACTTTTGATGTGTTTGTAAGTGTTGTTAGTATCATTTTGTAACACTTTTTTATCAAATTGGACATCAAATTTTGTCAGAATCGATTGGATTAATGTGTGATGTGTTATCACGGTGTACTCTATACTACTGTTCTGAAGTATTTCAGCAAGTGCTTGAACATCACCGCCACCAACTTTCTCATCTTTGATCACAAATATTTGAATCCCATCGCAACTGTACTGTGAGATGTATTTTCTAAATAATGCATACCCGTCACTTGGTGACGGGTATTTGTCGGAGTATAGAATCCCATGGATCCTTATTGTACTTTGGACGGTGTCTTTGCAAGCGACAAGTGTGTGGAAAGTACTGAGATTGATTGGATCAGAAAGAAATGATGTTGTCACTCCAATTTCGTTAATGAGAGGGGTTGGAACTGAAATGTTCCCAAACTCAAAGTCGATAAAATGGAGTTTCGTAGTCAAAAAGTTGTCAAGAAATTGTGATTTTATTGAGTCCCATGTGTGATAGTGGGAATTTACACTCATTTTTGTTTTGGGAGTTTTTAATTTTAAATTCATTTCTGATTCTTTCATTTTTTTTTTTCGAATTTTTAGTTGAAGTATAACAATAGTTTAGTAATATTACAATAGAATAATACAAGAAATATTATTGAGCAATTTCCAAGTGATAATTAATTAGATTTTTATTAAAACCCATTTTTTTGTTTTTACCAAAAAAATGGGGTTTTTTAATAAAAAAAAACTTAAAAAATAATTAGACTTTTTAATTAATAGAATTAATGATCTATTTGTTATATTTATTCAAATTAAAAAAATCTTAAATAGTGTAATAAGTTATACTTTTAATATATTTTCAATAACAAAAGTAAAATTCTAATAATTAATAATCTAGTTTTAAAAAAAGGAGATTGAGATAATGATAACAGTTGTGGAACAAATGAACATTTAAGTCGAGAAAAATGAAGAAAAAACAAAAGATATGGCAAAGGTGGAGCTCATTAAAGGAGAGGATCTAATCCTCAAAGAATACGGCATCACAAATCAGGATTTAGAGGAGGTCCCAGACCTCGAAATCCGAACAACGGAATCACAAAACATAACAGACAACTCTGTTTATCAAAAAGAAGTCTCAACATACACTGAGGAAGAGTCTGCTAACAGAATTGCCGAGTTAGAAGAGAATTCAAAAAATCTCACATTCAATGAGCTGGACGACATGATGGTCGAGCTCAGAACAAAACACAGAAAGAGTCAGATTGAAAATATGAGTGTTCCCATAATCACAGACAGAGATTTCATGGGAATATTTTTAATGGAAATGCATGGTGATAGAAGATACTCCCATTCAGTGTCGAGCGGCGTTGATGTTTGGAGACGTAAAGTGAATGGAAGCACGTGGAACGGGGTTGCAAGAGGAGTAATACCGAACATCACACCAAGAAGAATGTGTACTTTGTATTGGGATTATGCCATCAGAAGAAAGTGGGACTCGTTTTACACTGTGATTGAAGACGTTGACTTTTTACCAAGTGGCGACAGAGTGTCAAGAACAGCGACATGGACTCCAAAGATGTTCAAGCAAAGAGATTATGTACATGTGAGAAACGTCATTGAAAGTGATGATTGCTGTGTTGGTGTTTACCTCCCGGCAGATCACAAGAGAGCGGAAGTTGACAAGAAAAAATTCATTCGTGGGTTGGTCAATTTCAGTGGATTTGTATTCAGAAAGCAAGGCAATGATTGTGTTTGCACTCTGATGACGCAGACAGATATCTCTATCCCACTTCCAGATTTTTTGATCAACAAATTTCTTGGTATTGCAATTGGGTGGTATATTAGACTTATGAAAAAGTCTGCCATCAATGATGGCATTAAACAGTACGTTGCATAATCAAATGTACTTTTTGGTATTTATTCATATTTAACCATTGTTAACTTCAAAAAAATTAAATTTACTAACTATAATTTTGTATTTATATATTAATAGTTTTTTTACTATAAACTGTTAACAAAAAGTTGGTACTACCAATAAATTGCTTAACCCCAATTTCCTCAATTTTTGTTATTGTTTGGCCTCTAAAAAATGTTGAATTGGTATCCACAGTACCACATTATATTTTAATATTTTTTATACTTATTAAAGAAAATTTTGTGTAAAACAGAAGAAAAAATTGCAAATTTGTCCTAAGAATTTTTAAATCATATCGCGACTTTTTGTTTAAACTTTTTTATAACCAACAAATATTTCAAAATAAAGGCTGTGTGGATTTTAGAACAACACAGACTTAAATAAAATAATAGATTGACTACTAATAAGGCAAAATAATAGAAAATACAAAATATAGACTTAAACACAATATTTAATGCCTAAACGAATAAACTTAATTGATAATAACAAATGACCAATATAATGAACTTATTTATACTTAAAATGTTGACTTTTCTTAATTTTTGAGATATCCCGCTTGGATACTCCAAAAAGTTTCATTCCATAATCATAAATCACCTTTTCAGCTCAAGCTCTGGCTGCACCCTTGAGTTATCGTTCTCTCAAACAAATAAACATTTTTGTTGTGATTTTTTGGTCATAATGTTTGATTATTAAAAAAAAACATTAAAATTACACAAATTTATAAGTTTGTCTTCAAAAACACGGCTTTTCAAGAAAATTTCGATTTTTAAAAATTTAACTCAGAAAAAACTGCGGCTTTTTTCTTTGTTTTTCAACAAAAAAAACATTTGAACTATATTTAAAACTATATTTTATAGTAAAAATGTCCAGTACCACATTTTTGTTTTCAGTTTATGTATTATACTTTTAAATAATTTGAATTTTATAACAAATAAACTCAATATCATTAATAATTTAATTACTTACTTTATCAGGTGGTTCTTTTCTTGAAGTCTCTCATATCAAACGAAATGTCCTCAAAAGAAGAACTCTTCTTAACACTTTCAAATGCTCTTTTATATAGCTCTTCTCTTACCTTTTACGTTAAGTGAAGACACACCAATTAAGCCCAATCGTCTTCATTTCTATCGAAGACCACAACACACCCTTTCTCTCCGTTTGGAAGCCGGCGTTGAAAATTTACAAGAGAAAGAACGTGAAGTCCGTGAAGTGATGCAACGAATTTATGATGAGATGACTATTTTTGTTAATAAAATGAAAGACCTCAAGAAGTTCATTTTATTGAGAAAAGTACTTGGAATTTTTACACAAAGAGAGGCCGATGCTTTTAGAAACTTTGTTTGGATGTTTGAGTTCCTGATTGAAAAACTTGAAGTGGATCGAATTACAGAACGACGGGTCTTTACAGCACTTTTATTTATAGAACCCATGTTGGATGTTTTTGAAAGTGAAGAGTCGAACCGTTTTATCAGAGAATTTTACGAAGTTAAACATAAAATAAGAGAGCACATAGGGAGGGGTTGTTTTTCTGCAATTCGTATTAAATGTAAGATGGCAAGACACTTTGAGGAAATAAGTATCTATTTTGATAGATTTATCAATGATGTCATTGAGTTGACTGAAAACCCACTGTTGATCAATTCAGTCAATGCACAACAAGCAAAAGCAAAAATGCGAATGATCTTAGAAACTATCAACAAAATAAAAACTGGACTTTGATACAATTCATAAAATTTTTATTTGATATTTTGTTGTTAGTTTATATTTCCAAAATAAATCAAAAAGATAAATAGTATTAACTAGTTAAAAATATTAATAATACAAACCCCATAATATTAATATTTTAAAGAAATAAAATATTTCTTAAAAGTATTATTCAAGTAATGTTTCTTCACGATGAAGTATTTTATCAAAACTCCATTAATGTTGTGATTTGAAACAAGAAAATGCATGTCAATACCACGTTTATCGTTATCAGATAACACAAAATCGGCACGCTATAGTTTTTAAAGTAATATATATATTTTTACAAGATTTTTTTAATTATGATGAATTAAAGTATATTTGAATGGTTAATATATAATTACCAATTAATTAAAATAATTAAAATGTTTGGTTATAGTATTTTAATTAACAAACAATAAATCAGTTTTACTATAACAAATATTAACCCCATAATTTAAAATATTGAATATAATATGATTAAAGTTCATTATAAAACATTGGCATGTGATTCTAACAAGCAACTTTACCTTTATAATTTTGTTTATCAAATCACAAGATGTTTTCTTGGATCTGTGAAGTAGGTTCGTACTTAATTCATAATATTTGAGAATATATTATTTTGATATTAATTATATTATTATAATAAAACACCCTTATTTTTTTATTTAATTAATATTAAAAAGAAAAATCAACTCATGTTCCATATTTACAAAATGAAACCATACTAAATAACATTAAAAAACAACTCTATTGAACTCAGTCTTGTTTCTTCCCACGTTTTTCGTTTTCTTCTGAATTTTTCCTCAGATGCCCTTTCTTCCCTGATTTCTCCTCTTTAACAACGTCATCTTTCTTTTCCAAACCAACATTTTTGCTTAGTGTTTTTTCCTCAACAGCAATTTTTTTGTTTTCTTTGTTCTCAAACTTGTAAATATTACCACTTTTGGCATCAAATTGAACTTTTTTGAAATCTATAATTTTGAGGAAATTTCCTTCAACGAATTTATTTGGAACCATCGCAGTAATTCGATTTGCAATTTCAGTGTTTTTTACAATAACGCCAACAATCCCTGACTTCATTTCACCTTTCTTGCCAATCAAACGTTCAAAAGATAGAATGGGATACTCTTCAAGAAATTCTTTCATGTCTTTGTCCGTCTTGTTTGCTCCAAAGCCATTGATAATAACTGATTTGCGAGTTTTGTCTCCACCAAATTTATTAATATATATCGTTGCACCATTGTATTTCGTTTTGTTCTTCTCTTTTATAAGATTTTTAACTTCTTCTTTGCTCGTAAGTTGAACTAAACATTTGTCAAGTAAAGTATCTGCGTTATACCTCTCAATATCAAAAGAAAGTGTTTCGTAGTCTTGAAACACTTCTTTGATCGTTTCCAGACTTGTCGTTTTCTTAAACCCTCCAATTACAACTTCAAATGCTTCGATTAAAGAACTCATTTCTTTTTTATTGTGTTTGTCTTTTTTTCTAATAGGGTTATAATTCTTTGAATTGTTTTTTTGGTTGTTTTATAAATAAATTATATTAAATTTTAACTAAAAAAAATAAATCCCATAATTTATAATACTATATCATTAACGATATTTAACATTATTATTATATTCTTTATGAGGTTATGACAAAGCTTGAATTTATAAAAATTGTAAACTGTATTAAATAACCCAGAATTTGGTATTTCCACGATGTTGCATATATATTGAAATCATCAGATTAAATACTGTATACTTTTTTCATTTTTTCATGTATTTTTTATTAAAATCAATTTTAAAATTTGTTATAATTTATTAGTTAATAAGATTAATCAATTCCCATCTTTATAAATAGTTTATTATAATATCCAAAATTTATTAATATAGTTTAGAATATAATATATGAATTAAATGTTCATAATTAATTAATTTATTATTCTTAATTTAAAATTATTTGTAATTTTATAATGTTAACTTTTATTTGTTTTTAAAATATATATTAAAATATATAAAAAGAACTATATCTATTTAAATTTGGTTAATTTTAAAAATCCAAAATGAGAATAAAAATAATTAATTAAATTTTTAATTTTAATTATTTATTTTTGACAACCAAAAATGATTTTGTAATTCGAAAAAATATTTTGTAGATACTTAGCCTTATCCAACTTTTTACTAATTATATTTTATATATTAAAATTATTTTATTTATTAAATAATCACAAATTCGAATTACCTTTTGGTTTTAAATGAATCCTAAAATGTTTTATGTGAAAAATAACTATATTTTTAATTATTTTTTTTACATAAGGTTAAGTTTTGCATAAGATTTAATTAACATACTGAATAATTTTTTTGTGAAAATGGATTTAAAAATAATTACTCATGTTATATCAATTTCACCACTTCCTGCAATATTAAGATAATTATCATCCAAAATTATCAATAAAAACATTCATTCGATAAAATTTAAATGTAATTATTTTACTTGTAAATTTGAAAAATTATTTCAAATGAATAATAATTATAAAACAACTATCTTCATTTATTGTTTATTATTGTGGTGTAATTGTCGAATTGTGAAGAACGTGGCAGTTCTTCTGCAAAAGCGGATTGTGTTATACTTGTTTGCACTCAAATTAAAAAAGATTCGAATTATAACTTCGCTTTAAAAATCCCGAACAATTCCCAATCATCAAAACGACACAAAAAGTTTCTTTTTATTAAAAAGGTGAGTGTTGCTTTATTTTCTTTTTTTACAAATACAACAACTAATTGTTTAATTTGCATTTATTATTCAAACCCAAGTTTTATGAACAAGAACATATTTCAATTATAATTTACGAACCAAAAACAATAAAAAAGTTAAGTGTTTTTGGTCCACAAAATACACAAAAATAATCTTTTTCAAAATGCCAAAATATTAAATAATAATTAATTCAATAAATAATATCGTTGAAGTGAAATTACTTCCACCAACTTCCTCTTTACATTCAATTTTGTGGTCTTCTTACTTTTTGAACATCTTAAACAAATCAACACTATTTAAACCCAATCAAACAATTTAAATGGTGAACATAGTATTATGTGTGATTTTGAGTAACTTTTGGCGTTTTTGTGCGTCCGCATTGCTCTATAATTTTGCAGCTTTTCTATTTTGGATAGTTGTGCCACTGATAGCGACCAAACAAGGTGCTTCCAATTTAGACTTGGCTGTTATCAATGCAATTGATTATGGTTGTATGTTTATGCTCAGTTGGGCTTGTGGTTTTATCAATAATACGTTGCCGGGATGGTTATTAGTTCGAATTTCGAGTGTCATTTATATTGCTGCATGTATTCTTCTTATGTTCATTAACGACAATTTGTGGATATTATGGATTATGTCCATTATGTATGCAATTTCTTATGTTTTCTTTATGATCCCAATTGAAACTTCTATCTCTCGAGAAAGTGATCCATCCAATGCAGACTTCTGGCTTGGCATATTTTGTGGAACACTCTTTTTCGGACAAGCACTTGGATATATTTGTGGTGCATTTCTTTTCAATCAGCTGGGGGTGACTGAAGTTCTTATAATATGTATCGTTTCATTAGCATTACTCTTTTTAATATACCCCTGTTGGGAAGGCACCAAATTTAAAGGAATTGATTTCTCCATAAAGACGGGAAAAGACGCTCAAGTTAAAGAGAAGGAGATGGATGTCGTTCTATCCAAAGACAAATTATTAACCAAAAGTAATTCAAAAAGTTCCTCTGAAGAAAAAGAGCCTGAAAACATGAAAAACGATGAGAAAACAATAAAACAAACAGACAATGGAATTATTGTGATGGGGAAAATCGAACGTCGGCGGTTAAAAAAGCGGTTTATGCAGTACTTAATTCCCGCCTTTTTGTGTTCCATGTGTTGTTATGGTAACCTTCTCAGTTATGGGTCACAGTATTTCAATCGAGTCTTTGGTACTGATGCTTACTTCCCCATAATGGAAAATGACACAGGAAAATACGACAAGTTTATTGGCGTTTTCTTTTGTGCAGTTTACATTTCTTTTGCAATTTCAGTCGTGTCATTTTCGAAGATGAAATATTTATTTTTCAATCGGTGGACTATGCTCTTTTTTATGACAACCGCACTTATCAACCATTTTATTATTGGGGCGGTCTCAAATTGGATTGTACAACTGATAGGAGGTATAATGGAAGGAATTTGTGCTGCTTTTTCTGCCCAAAATGTGTTAGTAACAACATCAAAATTGTCGCTCTTGACGTCGCGAATATCTTCGATATATGTTGGTGTACAAGAGTCCTGACTACA